GACGATGCACCTGTCTGACGTTGTCAATGGTGATTTGTTGAATGGATATGAAAGACCGTTGCACTACTAGCCTTCTCATAGAGAAAATAAAAGGGGTAAGAACCAAAGCAAGAAGGTTTAGGAAAAGTCTTCCGAACGCCTATAGGAAAAAGTAACAGTAATTTTGCCACACTACCATCGATCGTCCATTGAAATTAAATCGGATATTTCACCAGCAAACGGTTCAGATCTGTGAACAAAACCCAACGCGCTAAGACTCAAAAGCTTCAAACCTTCCCATATTTCACCTTCTACCCTCCCCTGCTCTGCTAACCTTTCTTCTACCCTCCCCTGCTCTGCTAACCTTTCTTCTCTCTTGTTCGGCCTCTCTACTGCTCTGCGAAGGTCCCCTCTCTCCCGTCGCCCTCTCTACTGCTTTGTGAAGGTCCCTCACTCTCTTTGTGCTGCTACGCACATTCTCTTTGCAAACTTCCCAGACACTTTAGATAGAAGAAAGCTTCTTCATGGAGGTTCTAGTGAAGAGAGGGAAAGCCAAATCGCAAGGAGGAGGATGTACCAAAATGCGTGCCACGTCTTAGCTACTAAAGAACTCCCAGTCAATCATGTCTTTCCTGGCTTTTTTGGGTATGTGATGAATATTCAGAGAATTATGATGTGGGCTTTCGTTTTTGCTCTAAATCCGTATGCGTCGTGAACTTGTGGGAGATTGGGAAATTTAATAATTGAGTATCTTTAGCATTCCTTCCTTTGTTTTTCAAACTAGGTTTTCTTCCTCATTTTTTTATGGCCTCATAGCATGTTCTAGATGTTACCAAATAATATGCCGTGGGTTTGATTTAGAAACATTTAATTTGGAATCGCATGATTTAAATAACCATTTTTACATGAAAATGGAGGGTAGTTACATTTTTGCAGTGGTATTTGGAAGAATTAATGGATAACATAATTTATTTTGGGTGAATCTGTTTTTTCATTTCTCTCATCTTTTGCAGATCTTTTGATTGGTAATGCAGTCGTCAACAAAATAGAGATATTGAACCTGAATTATCATATAACTGCAGCTAACTCTAATTTTTGGTGGACTTCTCTTTAATTGTAACATCTTTTAATATTTTTGGGAGTGTATAATTTGATTCTTCGGACATGGTGACATGAGAAGCAAGATAATATCGGAATGTGATATGTATTTGTAATTTTTTTGGTAAATGCTAAGATTTGAGTATGAGTTAGATGCATTATGGCTTTTCTTTATGGTATCCACACAGACTGTTTCTAAATAGATTGTGGTTTTGATAGAATACATATGTTAGAATTTGTAGGCTTCTATTTGCACAAATCATTGATAGCTCTATAATATTTCTTTCCTAGCTTTCAATAATTCTGTGAAATCTATGTTGCATCATGGTGTGTGCAAGTTGGTCCCTCTGAAGTAGTAGATGTGCATTGGACAATCAAAAAAGGCATCAAACTTCACATACTCATATTTTTGGGTACGTAGATAACATAGGCACGTTCATGTGCTTACAAATTCCCTTATATACTCAAATTTAGATACTATTTCCATTACTTTTGGTTAAATGCATTCATGTACAAACATGTAGATGTATATTATCATTTTCCTACATATACTCACATGCATCTTATGTAATTACATCATCATATGGTACTGCTACTACCCTACTGGTTTTTTTTTTCCGTTTTGGGTAATTACTACCCTACTACTTCGAGTTCCTTTTCTTCTTTTTCTTCTTCTTTTTGGTGAACACTGATAATGGTTAGCACCAGTTTTTTGAGTGGAGTGTTTTCCTGGCTGGAAATGAGATCCATCTGGCCAATTTCCAATAGTCTCTTGCTGAAAAAGCGCTACATATGTATACAAATGCAAACACATGCGGACAAAAACATATACCGGTACATGCAGATCTTTTGTGAATGTGTGCAAGCATATGTGCGTGCATGCATGTGTGTGTGGCATGTGTGTGAAGGGATTATATGGAAAACACCTTCAAGTTCTACCATCAGGCAATTAAATAAGCTATTGATTTGGGACTATGAAGATCTCATTTTTTTGGTCTTTTTCTTTTTTTACTTTGGTTCACCAAGTGAGTTTATTGGATTTTTCATTTAACCTGCCCATTGGTATACTCAGTACCATCTAATGAGTAGATTTTATGCTTGGTTAATCTGGATATTGCTTCTCATACCAATCTCTATCATTGGTTATTTCTTTGCCTGTCATCAACTGACCGGTTGAACTAATGGCTTTCACCAGAAATTCATTGAGGTTCATCAGACTAGTCCAATTTCTCTACACAAAGTTGTCAACTGTTTTGTCCAAAGAGGCCCTGTTTTACGCTATCACAGTGCTTTACTACCACATGTTCTGTTCCAAATAGGCTGATATTGTTGCCACCAAAAATAATGCTCCCTTAAAGTTTTGAGGCAAAAAAATCAAGTAATTCAGCCATCTAAGAGATCGATCAATTCAAAAAAGCCTTCTAGATATCCAATTTAATAAATAACATTTTCGATTGACCGCAAATTCAATGTCCAGACTAGGGTTTTGTCAATCGAAAAGGAAATAGGGACTCATACCTGGCAGTCCCAACCGCGAATTGAATGTTCAGACTAGGATTTTGTCAGTCGAAAAGGAAATAGGGACTCATACCTGACAGTCCCAATTAATAGCCTACTCGTGTAGGCACCGCTGTGATCACGAGCAAGGCCACCACCTCCGCAGGGACCTGACAGTAAATAAAACTGAGAAAATCCACCTAGCGTAGATGCAGCGCTCTACCATACGGAAGGTCCCCTGAGGTTAAACCGGTTACCTTTCGTATGGTAGAGGGCGGCATTTACGCTATCACAGTGCTCTTCTATCCGGCTTTTTGCCTGATTTGGGAGAAAGAGAGGATTTGCAAGGCTTTTGGCCTGTTTTGGGGGAGAGAGAAAAAAAGGTTGTGTCTTGTTTTCAGAGAGGAAGTTTTATGGCTTGGCCCACATCGGCATTGACACCAGCTAAGGTCGCATTATTCGGCCATAGCCTTAAGAGTTACGACAACTTGATAACCACATCAACACTTGATAAAGGGTGCGGTTTTCATAGAGCTCAAAATCTAAACAAGCAAAGTAAAGCCCGCCTTTATATAGCGTCCATAAATGTGGTTTAAATATTGGGAATCTTTGTGATAACTTTAAAATATATTTTCATCTTTAAGTATAAAATTTGATGCTTTAAAAATAGTGTAGTTCGAGCATATCTTTGCCTATTTGGAACAGAACATGTGGTAGTACGATTTATACATTGGCGAAACGGATAATAGGACGTGATGATAAGTTTCTGCCTTTAAACTATTCTCAGTCCCTTTACTGAAAGTTCTGCCAATTGCGTGGATGGGTTGATTTTTCCATGATCCATTATGTGGAGCAATATGACAAGTTGTTGTGCTGCATAAGTTGTAATGTGGGTAATATTAGAGTGCTCTAATGCGTTCAAATGTAATGTCCATGAAGACCTCATGATACAATCTCGGATGGAGCGTATAGAGCATGAGTTCAAGGGGTGGAAACTAAAATTATCATTAATACAACCCAAAATTACTCCTTAATTACACAATTTCCTGCAACCTATTTGCCTGCAAATCTTTCATTTCCTCACATACAATCACTCCAAACTACATGAAAGAAGCACTTCAAATTGGTCTTAAGATAGTTCCTACTCTATGACACTTCGAGATTGAGTCTAATACTAAATTACGTCACCATGACATAAATTTTACCAACATAAACATAAGCATCATGAAAGATCGAGTCTGTTACTATATCATACGATCTTGTACTTTGATCATACGAAACTTGTCGTAAAAAAAAAAAAAACTCTAAAACTTTTTACAAAAAAGAAGAAAAAAAGTATTAGGTTTTCTCAATTCATCTTGACGTTTTCAGCTCTTATTTGTATAATCGAGTTTGTTTGTTCTGCTACTTAATCATGTCTATTATGGTCTATGAGCTGCTGAATCCATCTTGGAACCACATTGAGTTTTGTTTGCTCTTACAAGTGTCATTCTATTATCTCAGTTGTCTCGACTTTTTTGTCTAGAATGTTTCTCTAATTGAGTGACCCTACTCTAATATGGTAGTCTATTCCTAACGCCTGCTCATCTCTAATTGCTTGAGCCAGCCCTGTATTGTTATTCCTCGGTGCTTGTTGATCAAGTAATCTGAGTATGCGCCAAAAGAACTTGAAGAATCCAACCGCTCCTTTCCATAACTCAGTATTCAAACTCTAATTGCTCTCTTTCAAAGCATCTTGAGTTTGAGGGATTGTGAAAAGAAAATATATATTGTATATCCGGTTAATAATGAAGGTGTGTATTGTAATTACTAAATATGAGAAGAGTAGGTACAATATCATGTATTTTATGGTAAGTTTGACAAGAATTTACGTCTCTGTGATTTATTTCTTTATTTTTTCATCTGCAATTTGTCCATAAAAGATAAGTCTATATATTCGTATGATCAATGAAAACAGGGAGTCTCATCCGAAAAATATGAGACTCTTCACACAAGGGATGTCACTCAAATCAACTTGTTCCTATCAAGGGTCCGACTCCGATTGCTGGGCGTCTGGCATGGCGTTTGGGAAGTAATTTATTTTAGATTATTTCAATATTTTATTTCAAATGATGTCGTTTTGCAGAATTTTATTTCTTTAGAACCTGCAATGGCGTGTGATATCGGTCTTGCTCTATGTTTATACCTATCCCATCCCAATCAAACAATGAAAAAATTTTACTTGAAAATGTTTGTATTCCCTTTTCAAGGTTTCCTACCTAGCTAGGATTATAGAAAATTAGCATTTGATTGATTTACTAATGATAATGAATAATTATTTCCCGTCGTATTTCTTGTTTAATATTTAAGTTGAACAACTATGGCCGGCTGGCGTCTTCATGTATGGTTGACGTGTTCATAAATGGTGCAAAGAATATGTCCACCGAACGCGTAATGAACGGAGTTTACGGGGTCCTGAGTAGTTGGTATTAGAGGAACGGATATTTTATACGGGAAACGGAAGGAAGAATAACAATGGGTTGGTACATCAAACGAAGGACATGTTTGGGAAACTGTAACGAAAAGGAGCCCATAAGCACTAACTTCACCAACTGATGGAGGCCTGGAGATGAACCCACTGAAGTGTTTGTTTGCTAAAATTTCACATTCTTGAATAATCTGCCTCGACTCAAAAAAGAAAGGTATTGATAAAACCGATACGGCTTGGATGCTAACCCAATCTTGTTGAGCAAGTCCCAATTTCACACTCTTGCATAATCTGCCCCGGCTCAGAAAAGAAAGGTCTTGAGACGAATACGGCTTCGAAGCTAACCCAATCTTGTTGAGCTAGTCCCAATTGGACTGGGCCTATTAGTTAGAGCGAAGGTCACAGGTTGAAAATGCGGAATGGCTACAATATTCCCTCCCTGATTGGATTACAAAAAAACGGTACCAATTCGAATTACTTTTTTTAAGGTATGCGATGGGCACACATAGTAGTAGCGCCCAAATGCAAATTTAATGAAATATCATATATTTTTCAGCTATGCCGAATAATTTCTTGTTAGTTGGAAATATGAAGAAGGAACATATTCTCTAGAATGGAATCAATGAGGATGCCGCCATCAGGTGAGTTTGGATGGTGCGCATGAAGTGCAACTCCACCAGCCCTTTCTCTGATACCGGCAAAAGCTTCTTGCAGCGTTCTCCCCAAATCGTGAAGAAGGCTGATTTAAGGTGCAATGTTAGCTGATCCATTATGTATTATCATGCTGCACCAAGCGGCCCGAAACAACGTAACATGCATGTAAAGCTGGCAATTAAGTTGGGTGGGCAACGAGGGATTAGTGAAACTAGTGTGAGCTCCTATAGTAGGTTGGCATCTTTATTTCTTCTTCCTTGCTTTTTAAATAAAAGGAAAATATATAATGAAACTATTTATCTTCGGTATAAGGGGTCACAATTAATCTTGACCATTGGATGTGAAATTCGGTAGCTGCATTTATTTAATTGACTAAGATCATAGTTCAAAATAAATTTTTTCGAACTTTATAACACATCCATTCTATCAGATTTTATATTAGATAGTTGTAAGTAATTGTGACCTACCTACATGAAAGGTTAAGTGGTATCATTTGTATACGATCCCTTAAATAAAATGGTTTCAGAATTTTGTAACGGTCTTCTCTTATAGGGATCCTCTGTGAGGCTTTAGTTGTGCTTCGTACAAGTATGATGTGGCTATTTTATCTGCTCTCCCCAATCTCGGCTAAAGCATTTATGGTATTTCTCTATATTCAAGGTCACAGTGAATAATTGCCTTCATTTAAGGTAATTAGTGGGTTGCATGTCTGTAATTAATGCGTTCCTTTAACAATATTCTTTTTGTGCATGATGCATGCCTAATGATGATCTTTCAGTTTGCAAAAGTAGGCTTATTATTTGCTTTAAGACTTTCGTCTTTATTGTTTTTTGTCTTGTCATTCTATTATCTCAGTTGTCTCGACTTCTTTGTCTGGAATTTTTCTCTAATTGATAGTGCCTACTCTGATATGGCCGTCTATTCCTGAGGCCTGCTCATCTCTAATTGCTTGAGCCAGCCTTGTATTATATTTCCTCGGTACTTGTGTATCAAGTAATCTGAGTATGCACCAAAAGAACTTGAAGAATCCAACCGCTCCTTTTCATAACTTAGTATTTAAACTCTAACTTATCTCTTTCATAGCATCTTGAGTTTAAGGGATTGTGAAAAGAAAATTTATATTGTATATCTGGTTAATATTGAAGCTGTGTATTGTAATTACTAAATATGAGAAGAGTAGGTACAATATCTTGTATTTAATGGTAAGTTTGACTAGAATTTAGGACTCTGTGATTTATTTCTTTATTTTTTCATCTGCAATTTGTCATAAAAGATAAGTCTATATATTCCTACAATCAATGAAAATAGGGAGTCTCTTCCGAGAAATATGAGGCTCTTCAAACAAGGGATGTCATTCAAATCAATTTGTTCCTATCAAGGGTCCTACTCCGAGTATTGGGCATAAGGCATGGCGTTTGGGAAGTAATTTATTTTAGATTATTTCAATATTTTATTTCAAATGATGTTGTTTTGCAGCATTTTATTTCTTTAGAACCTGCAATGGCGTGTGATTTCATTCTTGCTCTATGTTTATGCCTATCCCATCCCAATCAAACAATGAAAAAATTTTACTTGAAGATGTTTATATTCCCTTTTCTAGGTTACCTACCTAGCTAGGATTATAGAAAATTAGTATTTGATTCATTTACTAATGATAATGAATTATTATTTCCCGTCGTATTTCTTGTTTAATATTTAAATTGAACAATTATGGCCGGCTGGCGTCTTCATGTATGGTTGACATGTTCATAAATGGTGCAAAGAATATGTCCACCGAACGCGTAAGGAACGGAGTTTACGGGGTCCTGAGTTGTTGGTATTAGAGGAACGAATATTTTATACGGGAAACGGAAGGAAGATTGACAATGGGTTGGTACATCAAACGGAGGACGTGTTTGGGAAACTGTAAGGAAAAGTAGCCCATAAGCACTAACTTCACCATCTGATGGAGGCCTGGAGATGAACCCACTGAAGTGTTCGTTTGCTAAAACTTCTCATTCTTGAATAAATCTGCTTCGACTCAGAAAAGAAAGGTCTTGATGAAACCCATACGGCTTGGACGCTAACCCAATCTTGTTGAGCAAGTCCCAATTTCACACTCTTGCATAATCTGCTCCGACTCAGAAAAGAAAGGTCTCGAGACTAATACGGCTTCGACGCCAACCCAATTTTGTTGGACTGGGCCTATTCGTTAGAGCGAAGGTCGCAGGTTGAAAATGCGAAGTGGCTACAATATTCCCTCCCTGACTGGATTACAAAAAAACGGTACCAATTCGAATAACTCTTTTTAAGGTATGCGACGGGCACGCATAGTAGTAGCGCCCAAATGCAAATTTAATGAAATATCGTATATCTTTCAGCTATGGCCGAATAATTTCTTGTTAGTTGGAAATACGAAGAAGGAACATATTCTCTATAATGGAATCATTGAGGATGCCGCCATCGGGTGAGTTTGGATGGTGCGCAGGAAGTGCAACTCCACTAGCCTTTTCTCTGATACCGGCAAAAGCTTCTTGCAGCGTTCTCCCCAAATCGTGAAGAAGGCTGATTTAAGGTGCAATGTTAGCTGAGCCATTATGTATTATTGTGCTGCACCAAACGGCCCGAAGCAAAGTAACATGCATGTAAAGCTGGCCAATAATTTGGGTGGGCAACGAGGGATTAGTGAAACTAGTGTGAGCTCCTATAGTAGGTTGGCATCTTTATTTCTTCTTCCTTGCTTTTTAAATAAAAGGAAAGTATACAATGAAACTATTTATCTTCAGTACAAGGGGTCACAATCAATCGTGACCATTGGATGTGAAATTCGGTGGCTGTATTTATTTAATTGACCAAAATCATAGTTCAAAATATATTTTTTTCAAACTTTATAACGCATCCAATCTATCAGATTTTACATTAGATGGTTATAAATAATTGTGACCTACCTACACCAAAAGTTAAGTGGTATCATTGTATACATTCCCTTAATAAAATGGTTTCATAAAAAATTTTGTAACGGTCTTTTCTTATAGGGATCCTCTGTGAGGCTTTAGTTGTGCTTCCTGCAAATATGATGTGGCTATTTTATCTGCTCTCCCCAATCTCGGCTAAAGCATTTATGGTATTTCTCTATATTCAAGGTCAAAGTGAATAATTGCCTTCATTTAAGGTAACTAGTGGGTTGCATGTCTGTAATTAATGCGTTCCTTTAACAATATTCTTTTTGTGCATGATGCATGCCTAATGATGATCTTTCAGTTTGCAAAAGGAGGCTTATTATTTGCTTTAAGACCACCGTCTTTATTGTTTTTTGTGTTGTGAGTTCATGCAAACGAGAAGATAAGTTCGTTGCTTCATAATTATGTACATATGACTATAATATTGTTATTTTGAGTTCTTGAAGTTTAAATGCGGTTGAAACTCATAGTATTAGCTATGTTTTGTGTTCTATGTTCACTGGTTTCTGCTACTTGAATACAAGCATCACACCTCGATGCCAGTTGTGATGTTATGTTGCCTATTAATAGAATATATTTTAATTCGATTTTTATTTAATGATGTTTGGGAATTATCCCACATTGAAAGATGGATATTCAACTTTGCTATATAAATAGCTATATAATATGATGTGAAGCATACGTGCGGAATCATAGAGGTACCCCTATATGTAATATGTGCCACGTGATTTTGTCGCACGTGTACACGTGATGCTGCGCGAGTGATGTCTTTAGACACAGGCGGTTTCGTGTATTATGCGAGAATCGGTGCCCTACTTCGACTCGTCGACCCAATAATATCCATACACAGCAAACTGCAAAGTTTTTATAGCTCACCATGATTCTTCAACCAGGAAGCTTTTATAGCTCACCATGATTGTTCAACCGGGAAGCTATTGCAGCGTTGCTTGAAAAATTTTTATAGCTCACCATGATTCTTCAACCGAGAAGCTATTGCAGGGTTGCTTGCAAAAGATGAATGGTAAGGAACGGCTTGGGAATCGTACATGAGCTCACCATGATTCTTCAACCGCAGCTATTGCAGGGTTGCAACCGGGAAGCTATTGCAGGGTTGCTTGAAAAGTTTTCATAGCTCACCATGATTCTTCAACCGGGAAGCTATTGCAGGGTTGCTTTCAAAGGATGAATGGAAAGGAACGGCCTGGGAATCGTACATGAAAAGACGGGCTTGGTCCAACCCGTTAAGACTCAATCTGGCTGGTCCAGGCCAGGGTCGGCCCATTAAGAAGTCTCCCTTTTTTTTCCTTTTCTGTTATATCTCTTGGCAGTAAGTCAAAAAAAAAAGAAGCTAAAATACCTTTAGAGAGAAAAAGATAGATTGAGTTTGAATGAGCTTTAGAGAGAGAAAGAGAGATTAGGTTTGTATAGAAAGAGAGAATGGTTTTTAAAGAGAAAAGAGAAATTGGGTTTTTAGACTGAGAGGTTGGATTTTTAGAGAGAATGAATTTTAGAGAAAGAATAGGATATTAGATTTTTAGAGAGAGGGTGGATTTTAGAGAAAAAGAAGGCACTTTTAATGAGATAAATAAAGATTAGGTTTTTAGAGATGAGAAAATGGGCTTTAAATTTTTTAAAATATATTTTATTGTCAATTTACTTTATCTTTTTTTTTTCTGCATACTACAAAATAAAATGAAATTTGAAGAGTGAAGATTTATTAATAAAAAGAAAAAAAAGGCCAGGCCAAGCTTCATTTGACAGGGTCACAATATGTTTCAGGCTTGCCGGGCCAGCCTAGTCTGAAGCAAAATACAGACTTGAAGTCAGCCCCCTCCGGAGGCTCGAGGCGCGGCGCAGACCATTAACAGCCCTACTTGGTTTTGTAATAATTTATGTTAGGCAAGCATTTCTCGAAAGAGTCCTGGATAATAATTTCTAAGATTCCCTAAACTTAAATACCACAAAGTTTTATTTCACACTCACATGGTCTTTTGTATTCTTAGCATTAGCAATCAACTTATGAGCCGCTTGGATATTTTGAAATGCATTTTCAAAAGTATTTTTCTGGGGTGATGGCTCATTTTCGGTGTTTGGGTCAAAATTTTGAGACGAAAAAGTATTTCCTCTAGAAATTATTTTCCTCATTTGAAGCAAAAAGTAAACACATTCATGTCATTGCCTTTACCGTCCTAAATTGATTTTCAGCTAGATTTCCCAGTTACGAGACACCCACTTTATAAAGTATAATCAATTCCCGCAAAACACTGCTATGAATTAAAGACAAGTATGTCACATTTAACTTTTTAAAAAAGGAAGTATCTTAAAGTTTTAGATCAAAAAGTTATATATAATTTTAGAGAGAGAAACTATCTAAAAACAAAACTCTCATAAGAGAAAATATTTCAAATTAAATTTGAGACAAAATATCTTAAAATTTTATCGAGCGAAATCATATAATATTCTAGATATATAAGTAACAAATAATGTTTTAAAAAGAGAAATTATCTCCAATTTTAAGAGCAACAGAGTTATATATAT